GGGAACCATGATTTTCTGAGTTCAGTGTACAGACATCAGCTACAAACAACCAACAACTTTAATTAAAACTCACTTCTATTCCTTTTCTCCTTCCTTCCTTCTTCCTTTCCTACATACCTCTCCCTCCTTCTCTCATACCCTCCCTCCCTCCCTCCCCTCCTTCCTTCCTTTCTTCCTTCTATTATTCCTTCCTTCCCTCCTTCCTTCCTTTCTTTCTTTACAGGTCCTTCCTCAACTAATGAAACAAGAATCATATCTTACATCTAATGGGAATTTTAAAGTGAAGCACAACTTGGAAAAAGGTAGAGAGAACAAATACTATTCTGTAATTTGACAAAAATTCCCTTTAAGTTATTAATTAAAAGAGATCTCTTGACACTGTTGAAGGGAACAAACTTATTGATAAATATTTCAGAGGTTTGACCACACTGTAGTTGTGTAGGGCTTTGGTAAATGGAGTCCTCCATTAACAACTACTGTACATTTTCATGTTTGTCTCAGTCCATATGATTTTGGGAATCTATTATTGTCTTCTTCAGCACAGGCATGTGGAAATCTGTTTGAAAAATGATCTAAAACTGTTTATGATTAGAAAAATGTTTAAGAGTAACTCTCCAGAATGCCAGCAAAAAGACAAAGTACCAATGTGGACTGAATTGTGTATCATATAGTAATATTTGCTAGAGCTAGATCAGTTTCAAGGCAGATATTTTAATTACTATTTGTTTTGGAGGACTCTGATTTTGAGACATGGCTATTGACACTATGCTTATTTGTAACATGGCTGTCATTAGATCCTCAGGGTCTGTTGTTGTAATTGGTGGCACTAGAGAGGGCCTGTAAATTCTACAAACTCATGCTCATCACCATGATTTGATGCTGAGTATGTTGACTTAGCTGCTTTTGCTTGTACTTACAGTCTTGTTTTCTTCTGACCAAGGATGACTTTTCTCACTCTTGGGACATCTTATAAGCTTTCTTTTCTTCATTCATCAGAAATAGAACAATTTAAAAATATTTCTTTAACTTCTGGGCAATTTCACCATCTTACAAACCTGATCCCTGTGGGTCACCTTTGATGGAGCAAAGGCAGCTTCTTTCATAACTCTTGGTGCCATTCCCCCATCTTTTCCATAGTAAATGCTGCTTCCAGACAGAAACTTCTTTTAATTTTTCCTGTAACCTAAGCCCCTGTTGTAAAAGATGCACTTCATCCTCATCCTCATTTATCCTTTCCCAAATGTCTCACCTCAGCCTCAACCAGAAGCTTCGCTTGATTTCCTTTGTGGTTTCTGGATCTTTCAGTTCACTATCTTTATAACACTCCTGGCACAGAGTTTGCATTTTAGTTCTTATTCTTTGAGTTGTTTGGACACCAGCAGATAATTCTGGACAAAATGGATCTCCTGAATGTCTGATGCCAAATGATGCCCAACTTCTTTTCTTCAGTGTGCTATGAGGCTTAGAGTGGTCCTCCTTCACTGCAAAATCTCCATACACTTGCTTCCTGCTCTGGAACCATCAATGTCAAAATTGATCGTGGTCTGTTTTATTTTGTCTTTCTTCTTGACCTCAGTGCATAGCCACCCACCTGACTAATCTCAGCCACCAACGAGCCATCATCAGCAATGGTATGGAAACCAGTCAGACCAGAATTGTCATGTGAAAATCTATTTTGTGAGTATGCATTAATTGATCGTAGGTTGCCACTAGGCATTCTTGGTGGTCAGCAAGTTGAAACTCCCATGAAACCCATGACTGGATGATGTCAAAGTAGGTTTAGTTGTGTGGCTACTCTTAAAAGCATGATTACTAGCCAGGCGGTGGTGGCGCACGCCTTTAATCCCAGCACTCGGGAGGCAGAGGCAGGCGGATCTATGTGAGTTCGAGGCCAGCCTGGACTACCAAGTGAGTCCCAGGAAAGGCGCAAAGCTGCACAGAGAAACCCTGTCTCGAAAAACCAAAAAAAAAAAAAAAAAAAAAAACATGATTACTAAGGCCCAGTTAGATTCCCCTTCCACATGAGCATGTGTATTGGTGTCCTTTCTTAGGCAGCCATGTGGAGACTTCATGGGTGTAGCCCCCCTGACATTTTCAGTAGCTGCAGTTTCACAGCAGGTATCTGTTCCTCTGGGTTTTTCAAACTTCCTACCTCCTCTAACACAATGTTCGTTGAGCCCAGAGGGCAGAACTTGTATAGTAGATAGCTCAACTGGGGCTTGGCACAACAGCATCATTATTTCCTGGTTGGTGTTCAGTTTTTTTTTGTTTGTTTGTTTGTTTTGTTTCCTTTTTCAAAGAAAATCTTCTTTGCGGAGGGGTGAGAGCTACAGCAAGGATGGATTGCTGAGAATGGAAGAAAATAGTGTTCTCCAGGGAGGAATCCACTAATCTGTTATCCAGAACTAATGTGTGAACCCTGAAATTAGACAAATACAAGTAACATTACACAGACACACATGCACACACACACACACACACACACACACACACACACACACACACACACAAACACAAATACACATTCTAATGTAATGACAATTAAAGAAAAAGGTCTGAGTTCCTCAATTTAGAGGAAGTTTATGTGTTGGTACTAGGAAGGGGTTGGACAAAAGAAAAAGTGGTAAAACTATGTGTTAGTTTCCAAAAACTAAAGACATGTATCTATAGCCTATAAAAAGTATATATATATCAGAAATTAAATTGTAATCATATAATGTATTTCTCAGAAAATTTAAAGAAAAGAATAGAGTATTGTAAAAATAAAAAGGAGTGTGAATACTGGTGTGCAGAGTTACATTAACTCAACTTAAGCGGATGTAAACCATTTTCAAACTTTTGTCGTGGGACATTCATGGACATTGCCATGGCGTATGATCTCTAGTTCATCCAAATGCACACCCAAATTTAGCAAATTTAGTATTTTCTTCATTATTTTAAAATGTTGATTATTACATTTTGTTGTTTTCTTTATTTTTTGCTTTTGGGGTATTTTTTTTTTATTCTTTATGCTTCATTTGTTTAAAAAGCAACAAGTTTCCTTAAGGCATTTTCTTACTTCCTGCTTTTAATTGGCCCAAAAGTCTCCTTTCACATTCTACCATTTCACAGGTCTCTTCCAAGCTTAACTGTCCCATGTCCATTATTCTTTCTATCACTTACAAAATACATGTATTATTTTCCCTTTGAGTCATAAACTGAGACCCTCTAATGGGCTCCTTTCAAGTTTCCTGGCCTCTACACACACTCAGTCTTACATAATCACACATTTCTAAAAGTTAGAAGCTATGAAATTATACTTAGCACAGTGTTACCTGTCTTTATCAACCTGGATTACATCACCTAATAGAGTAGCTTCTATTTCTTCTGTAATCATTGCCTGGGGTGTTCTACAGTGCCAGTGAATGGGGAAGGGGAGACTGTAAATATCTGGTAATTCCTTAGGATCTCAGCTTATTTCCCCATTCTGCTTAAACTACTTTAGATCCCAAATTCCACTGTCTATTCTTTCCCACTTCTAGTTGACTGTCTCTGCGTGATTGTTGAGTGTGAAAAGGCAACAGTGCCCATCCTGGTGATGTGTGGTTCAACCTGGCACTAATTCACAAATGCACTGCCTGCTTCTGCAGAGGACCTTATCTGATTAGAGAAGGGTTAACAGATACTGTCTTTCACAGGAACAGTGTATGGTATCCTGAGTTTTTCCTCCTACTACACTGATGGGCTGCCTGCCTTCCTTCCTCTCATTTATACTCTAGACTTTGGAGAGGTGCATGATTATCCCAGACACAGTTCCAATAGAAACATGAATCATTACCCCTGTAGCTATCATTTAACATATATTATTTTTATCTGTGAGCCTTTTCCTGGCATATTTTCTCTATTTTTGTTTTGATATACATTCTGTGAGATTTCATAAAATTAGCTGTCCCCACCTCTCCATGAGCCCTGAACAGGTGTGCACATATGCATGGGCTGTCTATGTGCTGTAAATTGTCATAATAAATAGCTCTTAAATTATTTTGATGTAAATCTTCAATTGAAACCACATTCCTATGTTTCACATACTTAATAACTTTTTCTTATGTAAAATAATTGCAGGTTTGAGACCCAAAGACCATTCAGGAACATCAAAATTTAAATTGAGAGTCAGCATTAAGCAACTGCATGAAGAGAGCCACTTCTCACGAAGCTGCCTCAAATGCATTTTTCAGTGATCTTTAAAAAGCAAAGAACCCAGAAATACTATATCCTCACTGGCAATGGGGAAGGGGAAGTAAAGCTAACTAGCAGTTTAACATAATAAAAAACATGTATTTACCTGCACATTCTGACCTCCCGTTTTTAGAAAAGGGTTGGCTACTTTCCCAAGAGAATATACATGAAGGTTGTAGGAAAGGGAATGTCACTTTTGGGTTAAATAAAAAATGCTTCCACCTTGTATGAGATGGAGGAATCTTTATTCTGTCACAAGAACAAACATATATTCCAAGCAATATCATAAATTTCTCATTACTTTTGTTTTAATTTTAGTTAAGCTCTACAAAAATGAATCAATAAACTTAAATTATGTAGTCTTTATTGAATTTGTATTCTTTTACATCATGATTAGCAAATGTCAGTATTTTCTGGTGTAATGTTAGTTTTTATGGGTTTAAATTTTCCTTGTTCTCACAAGCCAGCATCATATTGTCCTGAATGTTGGATTTTCTATGAAAACTAAATTTCTTCTTCCATTAATATGTGCATTCTGAGGTATTGAGCAAATTTATAGTGGCATATACAGAAAGTGATGACTTCCATCAAAACTTTTGGAATGAGATTTTTTTCATGTGCTCTAGATTGGCCTTCAATTCTTCACTTCAAATGACCCTCTGCTTAAGCCAATTGGAAGATCTCTGGTTTAAAAGTGTTCTCTTTTTACCACGAGTTATGAGCATTTGTTGTTATTCATTTGACCAGAGAAATAGCTGAGACATAAACTGAAGAAAGTTGTTCTGAATCACAGAATGGAGTTCTCAATTCTGGCAATAAGAATTATTTTCTTATCACAAACTACAATTGGAATTTTGGGAAATGTTTCTCTTATGCTCTACTATCTAGTCCTTTACTACAGAGAACACATATTAAAGCCCATAGATTTGATTCTTGTGCACCTAATGACAGCCAATGCCATGATCATACTCTCTTTAGGAGTGCCCCACACAATGGCAGCTTTTGGGTTGATGCAGTTCTTGAATGATTTTGGGTGCAGGATGGTAATATACATTCAAACAGTTGGCCGGAGTGTTTCCATTGGCACCACCTGTCTCTTGAGTGTCTTTCAGGTCATAACCATCAGACCCAGGGAATTCTGTTGGAAGGATCATAAAGTCAAAGCTGAAAATTATATTGGTTGCTTCATTTTCCTCCTCTGGGGCTTCTACATGTTAACAAATTTTATTTTCTTTGTGTACCCATTTATCAAACATAGTAACAAAAACATGACAAGAAAACGAGATTTTGGATACTGCTCTATTGTAGGGGGGGATAAAATCAATGACTCACTCTATACAGCATTGCTGGTGTTTCCTGAAGTCCTTTTTTCTGTTTGCATTGCCTTGTCTAGTGGCTCCATGATTGTCGTTCTGTATAGACACAAGAAGAGGGTTCAACACATCCGCAGCTCTCATGGTTACAGTAGAACCTCACCTGAGTCCAGAGCTACCCAGAATATCCTGGTCTTAGTTTCTGCTTTTCTGGCATTTTATAGTCTCTCCTCAATCTTAAGAGGCTGCATTGCTCTTTTGCATAATCACAATTGGTGGCTGGTGAACATCACTCCCCTCACTTCTCTGTGTTTTCCATCTTTTGGACCCTTTGTTCTTATGAATCGTTGCACCATTGTCTACAGGATAACCTTGATATGGATTAGGAATAAAAATAATTTAATCTTCTAAGAAGTACAATAATGATGATATCTTCAGGACATACAGCTTTTTACTAAAACAACACCCTCAGAGGTTAATCCAGAATCTTAAGTAGGTAGCATCTTGTCTTTCTAAGCTTAACCAAAATGAATATGCAAGTTTTGTCAGCTGGTTGAATTAGGAGCCTCCATAAGAGTTACAGCTGCTAGGTTATTCCTACTGCCCACCTGACATGCATATGAGCTAGCCAACCAGCTAATAAAACTAATCAAACTGCACTTGTTGGAGCTTTCATCCTGTCAGGGCACCATGACTGCTCAGTGATTTCACAGACAACTTGGTAGACCCACACTCTAACTGCAAGAAAGACTGAAACCACAATTGGCCATAAACTTGTGCTTCTAGAGAGCCTGGTTCATCCACAACTACTTCCTCCTACATCACTATTAGAAAACTTCTTTAGCCTTTTCTTCTCTGAAAGACTGCTGGCAGTTGTTCTGCAGAAATTTCTTTTCAGTTCTTCTGAACATCCAAAGAATTTGGAAGAAGCCTTTCCTTGGTTGTTTGTTCTTTCACTAATTAGAGTAGTATTTGTGGCACTTCTTAAAATACCTGCAAAATTCTGTTATGGATATTATCAAATAGTAGATCTTTTTAACTGAAACATTTTTTAAATTACTACTTCAATACTTTTCATAAATTGGGGTGCTATAGCTTTGGTAGTTTATGTCCAGGTTTGCTGACCTGTTCCCCAGGTTTGACTGTTTGGTTTTATGCCAATGCCAAGCTGTCGTTTTCACTTTGGCTCCATAATGTAATTTGATGTCATGTTTTGTGATTTTCCAGCTTGTTTTTACTTCTTATGATGGCCTTGGCTATTTAAAATGTTTTGTGACTTCATAAAAATTGTGTTAGTTTATTTTCTATATGTGTATTATGTCAGTAGACCTTTGATTGGCATTATTTTAAAATAATAGGTGAACTTTTTTTGGAAAAAATATCTTTTATTGAAAACAGATTTTTTTTGTTACATATTATCTTGTGGTTGTGGCTTCCCCTCCTTATGTTTTCAACAGTTTTCCTCACTTCCCCTCCCATCTATATCCACTTCTGTTCTACCTATCATTATATAAAAAAAAAGACTTCTAAGGGACAATATTAAAATAAAATAAGACAAAATCAACTTAACATATTGTAGTTGGAGAAGACAAAGAAACAGCAGAAAAAGAGCCAAAGAGAAGGAGTAAGAATCAGAGACCCACTTTTTCCAACACTTAGGAATCCTACAAAAACACAAACCTGAAATTTACAAAATATACTCAGATATCTGTTTCAGACCCATGCCATTCATGTGCATTCCCTCTAAGTCTCTGTGAGTTCATATCAGCTATTTACTTGGTGCTCTTATACTTTTACCATTTCCTCTTTTGTAGGGTACCATGAGCCCTGAGAGAAGGCATTAGCTAGAAACAACACATTAGGGCTGTAAGTTCCAAGGTCTCTCTCTACATAATATCAAACCTTGGGTATTTGATTCCTTTTTCTGTAGGAGAAAGCTTGTGTGACAAAGATTGAGCAGGGCACTGGACGACAATTATGGCAGATTCCATAAGGAATAATTTTATTGCTACTTCTTTTTAAAGCAATATTACTAGATTTACCCTAGATTCCAGGGGTACTTAATCTCTGGTCCTTAGCATCCAAATAAATATTTTATATGTGTTCTATATTGCAGAATTGGCCTTAGGTTAAATCTGATATTAGCTGATTACACCCCAAGCTTTGTACCACCATGGCCCTAACATATTTTGTAGATAAAACTTTATTGTATATTAGATAGTTTGTGGCTGGCTTGGTGATTTCCTTTTTCTCTTTGTAGCCTTCTGCTTATCTCTCTCTACCAAAAATACCAGATAATGAAGGTGAAGGTTCTGTTTAAGTACTAGCTCAACTTCTCCATATTCAAAGTGATATGTATGTGTTCTCTTCATAAGTGTAGCCTTACCATAATCTTGTATAGAAAAACCTATATATTTGGCAAAATCCTGGTTTATTTAGGGATTCATGTGGAATCCCTTTGGCCACCAACTCAAATAAATGCAATCTAATCATGGCACAGAAGACTTCATTTGGTCACAAGAGATGTTCAGGTGGGACTCTGTCTTCTCTATTATTTGGTTATTTCCCTTAGATCACCTTCATATATATATATATGTGTGTGTGTGTGTGTGTGTGTGTGTGTGTGTGTGTGTGTGTGTATGTGTGTGTGTGTATTCCTCAAATGGCCCTTAATATCAACTGACTTTCCTTGTATTCCCTCCATTATTCTACTCATCTTTCTCTACCAAACTTGATCTTCATATCCTACTTTCCTATCAATCCTTAATGATGTTTTATGTTTCTATTTCCTATTGAGAGATGTCTTTACCCTGTGGTCCATTAGGCTATACCATACCTAAACTCTGTGTATCTATGGATGTTAGCCTTTATTTCACTTGCTTAAAAGGTAATATCCTCATATAAAGTAATGTATTCCATATCTTCTTTCTGGGATGGGATACCTCACTCAGGATGAATTTTTGTAGTTTCATTCCATTTACCTGTTATTTACACGATTTTGTCTGTTTATTGGCTGAATAATATTCCATTGCGCAAATATATCACATTTTCTTTATCCTTTTCTTCAGTTGAGGGAATTTTAGGTCTTTTCCTTCAAATTTATTTGTATTAAATATAGAGTAGTAATGAATTTTGTTGGAGAAGTATCTCTGTGGTTGGATGAAGTAGCTTTTGGTTATATGTCCATGAGTGGTATGTGGTATTTTGAAAGTAATTTGCTCCCATAATCTCATAGGGAGTGGCAATATTAGGATCTGTGGCCTTTGTCGTTTTCTATGCTCACAGTACTGCCCAGGGAGTCAGACAAATTCCTGTTGCCTGAAAGATGTAGGTCTCTCATCTCTTCCTCCATCCACACATATGCCTGAATGCTGCCATGCTCTCCATCATGATAATAATGGACTGAATCACTGAAATTGTAAACAAGCAACCACAATTAAATGTTTCCTTTGTAAGTGTTGCTATGATCAAGTCGTCTCTTACCATCAATACAAACTTTAATTAAGACAAAAGTTAGTACCAGGAGTGGAGTACTGATTTTAAATGCCTGTTCATGCATTTGTTTGGAGTAATATGGACTTTGGGTCTGTGAATAGAAAAGCAGTTGAACAATTCAAGTGCTGCTTAATTAGACATTCTAGCAGCTTGAAATACAGTGGTACTATATGTGATTTGATGAAGTATATGGGGCTTACCTAAAAGTTTTCAGATGAGAAAAAAATTTAGTGTGTTTCCCAGAGACCACTAGTGATATTTTGATGAATAATGTTGCTGCTTTTTGCCATCATCTGAGGAGTCTGCCTGAGACTTAATTGAAGAGTTTTGGAGTAATTCTGTTAGCAGAAGAAATCTCAAAACCATCTAGTATAGACTCCATTATGTGGATATAAGTGGTAACTCTAATGAAGATGTATAAAGAAAAGAAGCAAGCTGAGCAGGATACATTATAAAAAGTAAAAATTTAGGAGTAAAAGACTACCAGGAAGTGGGATGAAGCTAATTCCTGTGTTCAAGGGGTAAATGGATTAGAACTTGAACAAAGGGAGTTGTGATCTCAGGGCAATATCCTCCCCAGGTAAGTTGTCAATTTGTGGAAAGAAACTGAAGAGTGTTTTAGAGCTGAGTGTGGTGAGACACAACTTTAATCTCCACACTGGGAAGTCAGAGGCTGGTGAATCTCTGATTTTAAGGCTAAACTGGTCTACAGAGCAAGATTTAGGAAAGCCAAGCTCAAGCAGTGAAGGACAGAAATCTGGTGAAGATGTCACTGAATGAGGGGGACATTTTTAGCCACAGCAAGCAGAAGAATTTGGCGGCTTTTGACACATAGTTCTGGGTTTAGTTTTCAGTATAAAAGAAAGGAGTTATGGCACAAAGTCACTGAAGCCATGGGTGTCATGGAATGGAGGCTCAGATGGCCATTGTGTGAAGCTGTGAAGATGAAGCCTGCATTGCTTTGGAGACCCTAAGATGGTACATATGCCAGAGTCATAGAATACCTGCCAAGAATAGCTGCTAAGTGTTGCTGTCGACAAAACTGAATGGAGTTGAAAATCTGAAGAACATTTTGACATCATACATGGCCTTTCACAGTTTGCAGATTGTTCAACTGGTTTTTGGTCTAGCTTTGTTCCACTACTTCCTCATTGTGCTCAATTCTCTTCGTTTTGGAAAGGTAATATATATACTGTGCCATAGTATTTTGGAAGTATGTGATCTGGTTTTTTTATTTAGATAATAGGCTATTACAGTTAAGAGATTAAGAATCTCAGAAGAGACTTTGAACATTGGACTTTTAAACATTGTTAATATTTTCATTATCATATTGCTACAAACTTGGGGGGTCAGGGAGTGGAATGTGGCAGATTGAATATAATTGTCTACATAGAAAATAGCATTATTAAGAAATGTGGCTTTGTTGAAATGGGTATGGGCTTGTTGCAAGAAGTGTGTTACTGTGGGAACTGACTTTGATGTTTCCTATGGTTTGAATACCACACAGGGAGTAAGCCAATTTCCTCTTGCATGCAAGATGCAAGATTTTCAGGTATTCCTCCAGCACCAGCTCTGCCTGCATGCCACCATGTTCCCTTTCATGATGATAGTGAATCACTGAATCACTGAAACTGTAAGTGAGCCACCCCAATTAAATATTTTCTTTGTAAGAGTTGCCCTGATCATGGTGTCTCCTCAAAGCAATAAAACCTTAACTTTGACAGTGGTAAAAATTGATATTTTGGCAGATGTATATTTAGTCTTCCACAGAATTACCACACTGATTTGATTTCCATATTGGCTTGGAATTTTGCACTCTCAACAGCAATGGATGAGGGTTTCTCTTACTTCAAAACCTCCTGTGCATGAGCTGTTATTTCTTTTAATTTAGCCATTCTGACAGGTATATGATGAAA